CTTTCTGTTCACATCAAGCTGGCGAGATAAAAGGAACAATCCAAATATTCCAGACCACGCCGACATATATGGAAAATCCAACAATTTGCCCAATAGAGATTCTCTTATGAACTTGACCTTGTCATCTTCTAAAGCGGCTATAAGGTCTTAGATTATGCATCTATGCTCAATTTCTGATAGGTTATAACCCTTTGGCCCCATGGTTAAATTCCGGCTGAGAATATCCTTCTTGATAAGTTGATTGGCCATCTGCAAAATAAAACCAAAAAGTTATTAGTAAACATCAACATCAGCAAATCGCAAACAAATCCACTTAACTCGAAATAGGGGGAGTGGCGAAGCATTGTTACCTCGTCGACAGCTTCACTATCCGAGAATTCCTCCCATGATCGATTACAGAGATATAGTTAGAGTCACCGGTGCCATATCAAACCTTTTTTGGTGTGAGAACGATATAATTTTGGATAGCGTGTAGGATTTTAAGAAACGCTAGACCCCTTTTCCCTCAAAAAAAAGTTTACCAGATAAAAAAAAAAAAATATCTTCACACTTTAGTTTTCGTTGTCGGTAACTCTGACACATGCAACTTTGGTGGGTCCCTGACTCTATGTTTTGTTTTAGTTATTAACGAGATTGGACTAAATCTATATAGTATAGATTTGTTGGTCTTTTTGCTGTGAACAAGGTACGATAAACAATATCGTTTTTGTGTCAGTTAATTTCTAAAGTTTTGGATAGTATTTTTTGCAATTACTCTATAATTTATCATATAATATTTTATAGATGAAGACTGTTAAACAGTATTGAATATTTTTTTTATAAATATATACTATCTTTATTTCAATATGATAAATATTTTAGCCAAAATATTTTGTTTTGTACTTTCAATACAAAATTAAATTTATTTTTATTTTTGTTGGAAAATAGTATATTATAGTTTTTTATTATTGGTTGAATAGTTTTTAATTAGACAATATTTTTTTGAATTTATATGATATTTTGATTTGTGTGAAAAATCCTTAAACATCTATCAATATTAAAACAGAAAGATTTATATTTTGGGATAAAAATAAGAGAGAAGAATGAAGTTTTACTGAACTTGTCTTATACTCTATTTTCTACTAATAGAGTATAACAGTTCTTATTCTATTTATTCTCAAGTAGATTTTATCCATACTCCATCCTAATGATCTGAAATCCAAACAGCTCAAAATAAACTAGTTTTGATCATTCTTCTTATCCATATTCTCTATTCTTCCATATCTGTCTTATACTCTTATTCGCTTTTATTCTCGGTCTCAATTCATGGTCTTATACCAAACACTTCTGTTGTCAATCTCGTTCTCTATGAAAATTTTATTCTAGATGGTTTGTACCTAATTGGTGTTGTTATAAATTTCTACATAGATAAAAAGCTGTGTATATTATAGAGATTTCTACATATGGTTTATACTTTATAAAATTAGGTTAAATGTTGTCTTTATTGTAAGAATTCACTCTTTTTTGTTTCTTAAATCCGGTTTAATGCGGAAAAGAAACATTATAGAAAAGAATCACCATATATTTTTGATGGACAAAATTCCTAAAATATTTTCAACCAAATTTTTAGTTATTTTCTTATGATAACTAACTTTTATCAAAATACCGTTAAATTGTTTTGACCGACGGAGTTAGTCACAATTTTATTAGAAATTTCTGATCGATTTAATTTAATATAATTTTTTATATTCATTAAAAGTTGCCAACGTTTCGATGAGTTCAATTATTTAATTTTTATTTTTAAAGTACATTTTTTTGGGTAGTGAGTTAAAAAGAAATTTTTGAGAACGAGTCAGAAAACAAAAGAGTTGAGAAAATATTTAATATAACGATAGACGAATAAAAGAATTTTGAAACGAACAAAGAAAAACATAGACTTCAACAGCGTTACAAAATACTATAATAAACGAATCAGAAAACACCACCTGGTAGAAAATTATTAACTCCCCAACACGATGTTAGACCGTTCAACAGGTTTAGTCATATTATTTAGGTATGATGATATAAAATGCTTAAAACTTTTTTACAAAACTTACAAACAAACACAATTACATATAGAAGCAAATTTGTATGTTGCATCTGAACATAGAATTTGAATCCTACGTGTATATGATGAATATAGATGTGACATATAAATATAGAAATGATATGCATATATATATATATATATTACATTTTTATATTTGCTTTGCTCGCGGAAACTATACATAATAATTCTTTTTTTAACGTAAGATAAATTATGAGCCACACATGTTGCATGAATCAGGATTCACCATATTTTGGAAACAATTAAGATAGCAAATAATACGTTTACATACTAAAGTACACACTTGGTGACTTGTTGTGATCCACGTCCACCACACGGTCCACACCTCATTATTATCACATCGTTCTCAAGTCTTCGTAGGAGCCAGATTTTTTTTTTTTTTTGCCGCCTCTTTGACGTAAAAAGTAATAATTTCAATCGGATACAAGCCAAAATCTAATAGATTAAAACTAAATACAACTAATTGGATGCTTATAAGTTATAATACTCAATTAATTGAATAATTCAAGTACTGAAAAAGGGCAATAGAGCGTGCCTCTTAGAATCATCCAAGGAAAATATACTCTTTTTGTTTCATTATATGCGTCTTTTCATAACATTTTCATTCATATTAAAATAGTTATAATAATATCTAAATTCTAACTTACATTTATCAAAACAGCAGTATGTAAGACTCATTTACTTTTTTTCTTTAAATAATGTAATTCTGTTTGCATAACAAAAAAAAACTAAAAGCAAATTTATTAAAAAATAGAGAAAACATTTGGTAAATTACCATAAAAATTAAAGCAATCATGTTGTGGATTATCGTATTTGATGTAGTAGTTTATTTTTTGAACGCCTAAGGTTTTTTATATTAAACTTGGGAACTGTTTACATAATCTTGAAACAAATTTTAAGCACATTGATAGGTAGAAAAGAAACTCTATCAAATTGTTTTCTTTGTATTTCTTTCGATTACCATGCATGCTTTGCCAATACATCATCGATACGATCACAAAACAGTCATTCTGTGACTTTATCCTTGTTTTGCCGTATGAATGATGAAAAAATGTTAAAAGAGAAGATAGAAAAAGGATTTGCATTATTGTTGTAGTAGCTTTAAATTTAATTCTTCTGTTTAAATATCATTTAGTATAATCTGTTTCACTAATCTGTAACTAATCTGCGTCGACTTCGTTACACATATTTCACGTTTTGTGGAGATCTGAAGTCAGTATATGGTCTTCTGCAGTGTAATCAGGGTACAGCAAAGCCTCAAGAGTGGAAACATCTTCCATGTGCTACGTATTTATATGATGTTAGGAAGATCGATATCTAAAGAATGTGGATCTACTTTTAAGCAGATTAGTCAGGTTATTAATAATGAGGCAGATATACTAGCTATAGAGTTAGAAGTCTTTCAGTAAAACATGTAATTAAATGGATATTGTAATGTTGGAAAAAAAAGAAACCGTTACAAAAATATTATAATAAACGAATCAGAAAACACCACCTGGTTGAAAATTATTAACTACCCAACACGACGTTAGACCGTTCAACAAGTTAAGATATACTATTATTTAGTCATATTGTTTAAAGCTTTTTGACAAAACTTAGAAACATACACAATTGCATATAGAAGCAAAATTTTTACATTGCATCTAAACATAGAATTTGAATCCTACGTGTATATGATGAATATAGATGTGACATCTAAATATAAAAATGATTTATTACAAAAAATGATATATTACATTTTTATATTTGCTTTGCTAGCGGAAACTATACAAAATATTTCTTTTTAATGAATAATAAATTATGAGCCACACATGTTGCATGAATCAAGATTCACCATAATTTGGAAGCAATTAAGCAAATAATACGATTACATACTAAAATACACACTTGGTGTGATCCACCACCCCTTATTCTTATTACATTGTTCTTAAGTATTCGTAGGAGCCACAATTCCTTTTTTGCCGTCTCTTTGACGTAAAAAGTAAAAATTTCAGCCGGATACAAGCCAAAATCTAAGTTGTCATATAAATAATAAATTAATATAATGGAACTAAAATACGACAAATAGGATGCTTACAATACTCAATTGAATAATTCTAGTACTTAAAAAAGGGCGATAGAGCGTGCCTCTTAGAATCATCCAAGGAAAATAACTTCTCTATTTTTGTTTCATTTATGCGTCTTTTCAAAAAAATTCGTACATATTAAAATAGTTATGATAATATATAAATTCTAACATACATTTACCAAAACAACATCATTATTTTGTGTAAGACTCAATTACACTCTCTCTTTAAATAATGTAATTCTGTTTGCATAACAAAAAAGACTAAAAGAAAAATTTATTATAAAATCGAGAAAGCATTTGGTTGATTACCATAGAGATTAAAGGATTCATGTTGTGGATAGTTGTATTTGATGTAGTATTTTTTTTTAACGCCTAAGGTTTTGTTTTTATTAAACTTGGGAAATGTTTATATAATCTTTAAGCAAATGATAAGTTTAGCACATTGGAAGATAGAGAAAAGCTCTATCAAGCTGTTCTCTTTGTATTTTTTTGAATTACAACGCTCCGCAATATATTGGCAATCATTCTGTGACTCTATTTTTATTTCGCCATATGAATGAATGAAAACATGTCGAAAGGGAAAATAGAGGTGTAGTAGCTAAATATCTTTTAGTATAATCTCTTTAACACATAGTCCGAGTCATCCAAACATCCCCCTGTGTACATCGCGTCTATATCCATATTCACAAATCAGACGTTAGAACCTTGGATAGAAAAACTGAAGATTAATTCAAGCAATTGTTTCAATTTGGAAATGTGAGGGTTTTTTTTTCTTCACATTTCCTCTCAAGCTAAAAACGTATATGGTAATGTTATAAACAAGAACTTAGATATATAATAAAAGGATCAAAGTCTATTCAACTTGAAAAAAGAGGGAGTTCGAAGGAGCTTGTATGAGCCGTTCCGTCTCATAGCCATAGACTCGGTACCACCACATCGATACGGACTGCCCAACCCGCAAATCGGAGAACTAACCGAACCATCATCATCGTCATCATAATCATCACCATGACCATCACTAGACTTCATATCAGCCAAAACCTTGAAGAAAAAGTCAACCTCGCAAGGAAGAACAATGGGTCCATCGCGTCTATATCCGTACTCGTTCTCTGCGTCTTCTAGCAAGTTCTTGAACAAAGGATGGTTCAACAGTTTTGTCTTCACCACGATCCTCTGTTCCGTGGGACCCACGTATACCGTGAAACACCCATGTGGAGGCGGAGAATCTCTCTTGATCTTTACTTTCGATTCGTTGTTCTTAGCGTCCTCGACAAGAACAGAGCCATTCCAAGACTTGCTCTTCTTGATCGAGGCGTTGGTCGAAGAGCTCGTATGCTTAAAAGACTTCATTTTTCTCCATGTCTTCATTATCGGATTCTCCATATGCGGAGATCAGATTCAAGAATCAAGAATCAGAAGAAAGTGTGTTGTGGGTCAGGCAAGTTTCATTTGACCTTTTTTTTTTTTGATTTATAGTTTAAATGCGTTTCTTTAGTCTCTCTTATATATATAGAGGATCTTGACTGGGAAATAAAGAAATTGACAAGTAAAATTGAGGGCAGGCTTAACTTTTGCATATAATACATTCTTCACCATATACGAACTCATGCTCTGATAATTCATGTTTTTTAATTTAGTCGTTGATAAATAAATATATCTTTTCAAACTTATTATTGGTGATCTGGTATGTTTGTTTTATTCAATTTTGTCAACGGAAATAGTTTAGTCGCCTTTCCAAGACGAATACCACCTGATTTTCTCTTCGAACAATATTATTTCTATTTTTTATTACAGAACACACATAGATTGTTCTCCTGAATTTATTTATAAATATTTTAGCATTTTGATGGAATGTAAATGGAATAATTCTAAAGGAATCCGAAGACATTTGTGATAGGTTAGTATGTTGATTTTTCTTTAAAATCTGTAATACTTATGGTCAAAGAAACTCTATTCTATTTTTGGCAGGTAAAATTTGTTTTTTTTTTTACTTGTTTGTTTGTTGCCGTTGATATTCGACCTTGCTTGTAGTCCAATTAAAAAAATCATATGTTAAAGAGAGAGAGACTAAACAATAAAGACAAATGTTTTCCACATTTTCCATGAAATGCATCTCTAAACACCGATAAAATCGCCCAATAATTAATGTTACATTTTTTATTTATTTGTTACTGTAACCCGTTGAATGATATACAATTACTGCTGTGAAAAACCTTACCTCATATAGTCATATTACACCTACCTGAGAAAAACACTACAAGTACCAGAGGCGGCAAAATCCATTTTGTTTGTGTTGTCAGATAATACAGTATACTTTATCAATAGAATTTTAACTGACAGCGTTAGTGTTTTGCCATTTAAACGTTCATTTGATTTTTTTTCACAAAAATAAAAAAACGTTCATTTGATTAATTATTAAGGTTGACTTGTTTAAATGCGAATGGATGTGAACTGTGAAGATGTGAAAATTTTTAAAGCTAGTTGCAATTATAAGAAGGGTTGAGCAAAATATTATAAATTTGTCTTTGATTTCCTTTAAATTTCCTTGCTTCTTTCTTCACCAATCTAAGTCACATCTCTATATCGGATCTCCCACACCATATATTATGTGGCTGTCTTTTCCTTGCACTTTAGATTATGTGGCTTTCTCATAATTTAGTCCCAGTGCATTACTTTAGGATAGTTTTCTTGCAAGGATGATGATCATAGCTGAAAATGTAGTTGCTTAGATGAATAGGAACACAATTTGTAGTTTTCTTTCTTCGTGAATGGATAGAGTTTCGTTCATTGTAAGGTTTTGATTGGGTACAGTAAATGAACTTTCAAAACTGTATGGGTTAAAAAAAAGGTCTTAAAAGCCATAATTAGCCAATCAACTTTATTCATTTAATAGTTTTTAAAATCTTAAAATTGCTCCTAAAATACTCACAGTCATTTCTTTGACATTTTTTTCTAAGTCGATACTTCTAACTTTTTGATTCTTTTAAAACTACAGTTATTTTCTTATAATAAAAGTTTTTACAGTCAAATGTAAAATAAAAAGCCTACAGCCCACAGTCTCTACCAGGCAAAGTCGTAATCTTTTAAAATTATGTGTTCTTTGTGTCATATGAAATTATAAGTTTACGGTTGTTTTTAAGACTGATATTATTTAGTGGTTTCTATTATTGTCATGCATAATGAATAAAAAGATCACATGGTTATTAACTTTTATATTATTTAGTCTAAAACTCTAAATTAGTGCCACCTAAACCTCCCAAACAAACCAAACTCTTCAAGTAATTACGACACATGCCCCCCTCCTCACCATTAGATCAAATTGGAATCTTCTATCTCAGCCACACAATTCTTCACTAAGTTTTTTAATCAAATTTGATCTAAAACCAATGACACATAATTTTTTAAAGAAATTTCGAAACTTCATCGGAACAATTATATAACTTTCAACATTAATCCTAATAGCATAAAGTCATAACCAAGGTTTAAAAGCATGTCGGAGGCCACCATATATACTTTCGTTTTAAACGATCTATGTGTGATATATGAAAAGTAAATATGGAATAACATTATTCTTCTTCCAATCACGCTTAAATACATGTCGAGCAAAGTATATATAGGCAACAGTCACACGAAGTATTACATTACTGTTCGGAGCACACTTCCAAAATAGAAACTATATAAATCGAAGATCATACAATAAATTCACAACATACTTATTCACGCAGATTGATCTTCATCACTTGATATCTTTGCCATGTCCCTTCTTAATTCTTACTATCAACAACCGGCGGGTTAAGCTCCTCCCAAGCCTCAATCCAAGCCATCATTGCATCAGCCAATTTCTCAAAGTACGGATCCACTTTAGTAAGCTTCTCCTTTGTCATCTTGGACAACTCCATGTAGCATTTAGTGGCAGTGTCAGATTCTTTGGAGAGACGAAGGTTTTGGAAGAAAGGAACCATATCTTCTTGCCAATGTAGTCCCTTGTGCTCTTTCTTTAGGTTTACGAATGGGTTACTAGCTTTGCTGTGCCACACATATGGCAGACCGGTCTTGACCCCAAAACCTAAGTGGTCACACACCACTTTAGCTGCCCAACCAGCCCACATGTCATCGTATCGGGAAATGGGCTGGCCTTCACCCATAAGCCCAAAGTACATAGCCGGTCCAATAAGCTCTCTGTTGAAAGCAAGATTCATTCCACACATTGGGTACAGTACTCCTTTTGGGATTGTCATCACTGCATCAACATATCTGCAAGGGCTATTGTAGAGTTTATATACAACTTGGCAACTTATAAAATACATCATAGTAAAAACCAACCTAACCGAACCAAATAGTTTTTTGAATTGTAATCATACTTCTACATCAAAAACTGAAACGAAAATATGTTAGTGCAACTGAACCGAATAAATCTCAAATAACATAAGATTACAAAGATGTTTAACTATACCAAAAACTGAACCGAACCGATCAGAACCAAATACCAAAAACCAAAACAAAGCAATGATGATTTGGTTGTAAATCGATTATACAATACTCCTCAAAACCGGACAACCTAAAACAAACAAATTAAACAAACCAAATGAAATACGGAATAGCAATGATCTTGATTTCTATCTAATTTATGACCTGATGTTACGTTCACGTGGCTTCACGAGTTGGGTCGGGGCATCGTAATCAGGGATGTTAAGCCAAAGGCCATGAGAGATGGCGGTTGTAACACCTTCCCTTAAACTGAAAGGATATCCTCTCACAAAGTCCGTTCCTTCTCTAAAAGGGTCATAGAGAGTGTTGAAGTAGTGTGGTGTTGAAGGTGTCTCAAGGTTCCTCATGTGTTGAGCTATCACATTGATCTCTTTGCCACTTGGATCCTTTGCCACCTTTTTTACATAATCAAAACATATAATGGACTTAGATGACTATATTTATAAATATATTATCAAAATCAAAGCAAAATAGACTTACAAAGCAATCATCATCAATGGTGTAGATATACTTCTTTTTGGAAACCATGAAGCCGAAGCAACGACATCCACCATCCTTGTAGGAGATACAATTAGCTCTAGGACCAAGTATCCTGTTGATATCGTTTCGGTTGTAAAGCTCATAGTCATAACCCTCGGGAACTCGGATCTTGATTGAAGGGTCTCCATCTTGGACAATAATCAAGTGGTAATGCTTAAGAAATGGCCTCCATTGTTCTAGAAAGTCAAGGCTCCTGATTGTTGGGATCACAATATCTAGATCGTCCTTTAATGGTGCAGCTTCGATAGCTTCTAGGTGGTAGCCCGCCATACTTAGAGAATTGAATAGCTAGATGTTTGTGACATGATTTTTGTTTTAGAGAAATGGCTTAGGGTTTATATAACGGTTTTAGAAGTTAAATTTTCATTTATTGCCCAAACGTTTAGTCTTCTAGTTAAATCGAAAGTGATTGGGTTTTCACAAAACTGCGTCTACGAAAACAAATGAAAGGATCATATAGCTTTTCTACATGTTTTCTAAATTGTAGTTGTTTGAACATTGCGATCAATACGAATTATATAGGTTAAGTCTCATTATCGAGAAAATAAAGACGCTCAAAATTATGGTCTCTTTTAAAAGTTTTTTCCAACCTTTTGTCCTATTGCTGGAAAAGCATAGATGTTCGGTACAGAAATTTAATATTTTTGGGTACACAAATTAACAATTAACCAAACAAAATAAACTACACCCATCCTACGTACAATACCTAAATTGTTAATAAGTAACAAAATAGTTTTCTTTCGTTAAATCATCAAATTGAAAATTTGCCTTTATTGACTAACAAAAGAAACTTTAAGATATTTACAAACTAAGTTTGGAATTGCTTAAGGGGAACAACAATAGCTTGAAATATCAATTATATCTAGACATATCTTTTCAATTTTTCTTCGCTCCTTGATAGTTGATACTATGATTTACGTATATCTAGTTTCTTATGTTAAGTTTTTCTTTTTACCATTCATTTTTTTCCCCTGTTTTTTTTTTATATATATTCTCTGTAACTTTCTTTGAATTCTATCTATATTCAAAGATAAAAGAAAAGCTAAATTACTGTAGTTAAATGGCCTACATTTTGCAAAAAAAAAAAAAAAAAAAAAAACTGGCCTACTCCAAATTTTTTGACAATTGAAAAGAAAGGACAAAAAGGCGTTGTTGTGTTACAAACTTACAAGAAACTCATAATAAGATAGTGAACATAGTGTTCTGAAAATGAAGTGAGAATACGATGTCACTGTTTTATTATTACTAATATCAGAATCCCCACGAAATCACTTTAAAATGATTCATTATATGTAGGGACAACAACATCGATTAGTAGACTTAAATTTGCGGTAAACTTAAATGAGATATTTATGTGAAGGAAAGATTATATCATAGACATAGTGTTAGATGGTGCAGAATTATTGAATTTTAGGAACTTCGATTGGTAGACTTATATCATTGGTAGACTTGTACGACGTCTAATTTCTGTGAAAGCAGATTAATTATGTAGATATATTGTTAAATGTTGCAGACTTATCAGATTTACGTTATTTCTTCGATGTAGATTTGTAAATGTGGTAAACTTAATTATATTAGAATTTTATGTGAAGGAAGATTTATGTCGTAGACATATTTTTAGACGGTGCAGAGTTATCAGATTTTAGGAACTTCGATTGGTAGATTTATATCTTTGGTAGACTTGTACGACTAATTTATGTGAAGGCAGATTAATTATGTAAACATATTGTTAGACGTTGCAGACTTATCGGATATTACTAATTTCTTCGGCATAGACTTGTCAATGAGACTTATATTAGAACCTTATGTAAAGGAAGATTTATATCGTAGACATACTCTTAGACGGTGCAGAGTTGTCGGATTTTAGGAACTTTGATTGGTACACTTATATCTTCGGTACATTTGTACGATTAATTTATGTGAAGCCAGATTAGTTATGTAGACATATCGTTAGACGTTACAGACCTATCAGATTTCAGTAATTTCTTCGGCGTAGACTTGTCAATGCGGTAGACTTATATTAGAACCTTATGTGACAGAAGATTTATATCGTAGATATACTTTTAGATAGTGCAGAGTTATCTGATTTTAGTAAGTTTGATTGGTAGACTCAGTAAACTTGTATGAGTAATTTATGCGAAGGCAGATTTATACTTGTTGAGATATTTGAGATATCTAGGCAGATTTATAATTTAGACATATTGATGTATAAAAACTCGGTGTATTTGTATGAGAAAATAGTCAAAGCAGACTTTCGAATGATGATGCATTGTAGGTGGAGGTGTGTCTTATAACCATAACCCAAAACGAATGATTTAAAAAACAAAGGGTCATCTCTTGTAAGAGTAAATCTGAAAGATCCTTACATAATAAGAGAAAATCAGGAAGGTTCTTCACCAATACATAGTTAGATAATAAGTTAGGTTCATAAAGACTTAGAGGCTCATCTCTTCTACTTAAAGAGATATGAAAGTGCTAGCAAATATGTCCTTCAACCGAGATACTTCGCCTTGAATCTCTTATAAGAGTAGCTTCATTTCTGAAATGTCATTGCCATTGTCCTCCATAATCATCAGCATTGTCGCTAAACGAGTCTCCAAACGAGGAATATATCCTTCTGGAAGTTCAATTCGGTTAAAGCTTTGCATCCTCTCGCTGTGCTCTTTAAGTCTTATTCCTACGATTGTTAGTTGCTCTGTAATGGCTTCATCCCACCATTTCCATATGTGTTCTTCACTTTCCTACAAATAAATTAGAATTGATGAATCTATTTGGGAGCCAATAAATTTCCCAAAGGTTTTAAAGTTTGATAATAACTAAGCTAAACAGTAGTCATAGTTACCTCTCCCAAAATCATCGGGCATGTGAAAAAATTTCTTCCTAGCGTGGCTACAGTGGTAGATTCTTCAAGGATGGGAACACAGCCACAGTAACAACGAACCGAGATTCCAAATTGGCATCAGCTCGAGCACATCAATTGTCAACACTAGTTCGGGAAGATGAACTTTCAGTGTAACTGATCGGCATTTTCACTGGAAGAAAATCATAAATTCATCCACGCAAACCAAGTAAATATCCAAGCCAAGTGACAATGCAAAACAATCGATTAAAGGAGAACTTAAACCAAAATAAAACAACGATTTTAAAGGTATACCTTTGGTAGGTCGATCTGGGGAGTTATAATTTCGTTCGGAGGTCAAACTTCTCTTCAATTTTGTCGGATCAGAAACAGAAGCTGAAGAAGGAAGAAAGAAATCCTAAAAATCGATTTGCTCCCAAAAATATACCTTATAGAAGCACATGCTTTTATTCTGTTTTTAGCAGAAAAAGCCACGTGGTGGCACTTATGTGTATGTAGACTTGTGTTCGTTCATGTATGGAGATGGTGCAGGTGAGGAAAACTGTGATGGAAGACTTATGTTATTTAAAAGTTAGACTTATTCTATGCAGGGATGTAGACTAATGTGACTGCAATCATTAAGTGCTGGTAGTTCGTTCTTCGCAGTTAGTGGTTGGCGATAATAAAGCTGATTTGGCGGAATGTAAACGATAAACTTGTGTGATAAACCTATATTAAGGTAGACGTATCAGGTTTATGTCTACAACATCATTATTTATAACTGTAGGTGAAGAAACCTGTCATGGAAGACTAATAGTATGTACAGACGTAGACTTATATGTGGCTCTAAACATTAATTGTGGGTGGTTGGTTCTTGGCAGTTGGTGGTTGGCGTTAATAAAGCTGATTTGCTAGAATATTATTATCTCGTTGTTAAGATAATTGTGCCTTCTATCTTCTTCCTCGTTTTTTTCTTTCAAATTTTCGCTCTCTCATTGAAAATATCATTGGGAAAAATTGTCATTGTTTGTGGTGAGTGAAAATTTCAGAAAAACAGATGGTTGTTTTTTGTCGATTGCAGCCTGGGATCACAACTGATTTTTTTCAGACAAGGGAACAACTTTTGAAGAATTCGCTGCTATGATGTATGAATATTTTGGTTTTCAAAAATTCATTGAAGAGATTGAGTTCAGTTACATGCTTTCAAAGAAGGTGTTGCTAAACTTTCCAGAAGATACTCCATTCGTAATTGTTGGGAATAATCGACATTTCAAATGTATTTAGATCAGTGTAAGGAAGCCTCATTCGTTTATGTGTGATAGTGAAAAAAGGAGAGCAAAGTATGAGAAATTCGAAGGTTGAAACAGAGGAAGCGATCAAAATGTAAAGAATATGCAAAATCATTAGATGAAGACGAAGACGAAGCTGAAGAAGGACATAGATTCGATTGCTATGACGACGCTGATGGAGCTTCAGAGGATGATGATGATTATTCAGTTTTTACGAAGTCTGACATTGAGGAAGAGGATGACAACCAAACTTTGCTGGATCTACGAGAGTAAACGGATCATAAAATTTCAGAGATTGTAATACACCTGTCATGGAGCGTTTCAATGCTGAATTTCCAAGATAGGGAGAAAGTTGGCTAGGGGCTTTTTGATTTTTGCGCTTCATAAGGGGTGTGCCTGAAGATAAGGCACCTGTAAGTGCATCCAACGCCATGTCCATTTTTTTTCAATTGTTCCGGTCTAAGGAGTTTGAGAAAGTAGAAGCTGAGTCAGGTTTTTTCATTTTTGCTTCAGCTTTTGCCACAGCCTCTATTATGTCGACTAAGTCGTCAGAAGCCTGAAAGGTAGGATAATCTTTCTATCTTGCAACACTTTTTTCAGATCTGACAACGCACTGAATAGAGACACCATCTGATGTAACTTTGTTCAAAACCATCCACGACTGTTGAAATGACACAATATATGAGATATTAAGTTCACCATAACTATCAATATTTCTGAGGAAAATTAATGGCACGTAAATCTACTTTAATGGAATTTAAGTCGACTAGTATTTTCAATTAATAAGTTAACAAATAATGCAATATGTCTACATTAACTACTACTAAATTTACAACTATAGTTAAAATCTGCTTTTATTAGTGTACAATATCAAGTTTACCATCACACAAAACACTTAGTTTTCAAGTTAACCATCACACAAAAACATAAGATTACAAGGAAGAAGGGAAAGAAAATTTTCTAAAAAAACTGGAAAACTGTTTTCTGCGACCAAATCAAACATAAGCCTGGAAAGAAGAATATTACTCTCCACTTTTTTCTGCAAAGAAAAACACATAGTATCAATCCCTAAATCATGCATAGAGTATGCTTACTTTAATTAAGTCTATATCATTAATTACAGCAACTTCATAAGTGATCAAAATTCTTATCGGATCATTGCTATTTGTTTTTTCATTGAAACTACCACTTGAGTGAATTTCTTTCTTGGATCCAGGTTTATCAACTTATTTTAACTCCTTGAGTTCACTCTCCACTTTCACGATTTTTCCATCAAGTTTACCCTCCATATTGAAAGCATTCTACTTCTCCCTTTAAGTTATCAATTGAGTTCCTGAAATTGGTGCCCATAGTTTCTACTTTGCCTGACAATGTCTCGAGAAGTTTCATAATCCCCTCCACCATACCATCATTTTGAGTAGATGATGATGCAATCGCTTTCTCACCAGAAGAATTTTCACGAACCCAAAAAAAACAAAAACAAAAATAACATGTTAAATTGTACAAAACTATTTCGAAGTGTCCAAAACTAAAAATATGTCAGTCACTCGCCTTTCAGACTTTTTCTCCTTCTTGACCATAGTTTCTCCTTTCCGTTTATTGTTTCTCACAGCCTTCTTAGGCGTACGAGAAACCTTTGGTTCAACGAAGTCATCGTCGTTTTCTTCAACAGGTACTTTGACCTTACTCTTCTTTTTGACATCAAACTTCCAAGCATTAGGGGCCAAACGATCGTGGAGGATATCTTCCAGCAATTTCTCAATCCACTTAGGTCTATTACCAAATAATCCAAAACATCATCAATCCACTTAGATCTTGGCTCTTCTCCATCTTTAACAAAAATATGTTTCACCCGTACCTACATATATGTCAGAAATAAATGAGTACTAAGTCTATTACCAAATAAAATTTGAAAATTCCATATAAAAAGCATACATACCTTATTGTTCTTGTTTTTATCTTCAACTAAGAGATCATCAAAGTCAAAACGCTTTTGGGAAACCACCCTACGCCAGAAGGGGAGCATCGATACCATCTTATCTTATTCTCATACTTTTCACCAAGAATAGTACCGCCTCATAGACCCAATTTTGAAGAATCGGCACAAAAACACTAATAGTCTAGGACTTGTTGTTGTAATTAGCCAATTTCACAAACTGAATCAGGCTTTCACAAGCCACCCTACCCCATGGAAACTTCTCGAATGCCTCCACATCAAATACTCTTTTCACTAAATTCAGAGGAATTTTGCTCCCATAATGCAGCCCAAGCACGCCAATAGCAATAACACATAAGCATCCTATCATTCTGCGCTTTTCATATGACCAGGTCCTACATTGTTTTAAGACCTCTTGCAGCTCGTCCCAACTAGGTCATTTGATTCCCACTTGATATACTCCTAGTTTCTACTGCAATAGAACAGTGATGTAGTTGTAATATAAAGGATTTGGGATCCAGAGGACCAGTGCTACTTTATGACTTTGTGAGGATTGAATTAAGCTAAGACAAAGATGATTTGCTGCGAAAACTAAAAGTAAACAGAACGGCAAACAACGATTTAAATTCGAATTAAAACAAGCACTAGACCAAAGCAATTCGCAGGAATTTCAGAGATAAGAACCAGATGACTATTCAGGGCATAAGTGTACGCAAGTCTCGAACTCAAATAGAAAAGCTTATCGATCCACTGTCGTGATCTCGATAACTTTGTCTAACAACCTAAATCCTAAACTGTCGTTTGAACCTAGAAAATTGCAGACAAGCATTAGCTAGCAGGTTTGATCTGTTCACGATTTGCCTTAATTTCAACTGTCGTTGGCTAAGGACAAATCGCTCACCAATGTTTATTCTAGCAACCTATTACACTTTTGATGAATAGATTAACCTAAAATCGCAGATTGAGTGATCAATTCAACCTAAGCATTAAGTCTAACAATGGTGAAGACAATAGATATCAAGCCCTATTTGCATCTAATCCTTTAACTCATGAAATCCTTTGAACGCTTTAATATAGCTAAGAGAACTACTCAGACATGGAAAAGAGAAACACAACAACAGATGAAAAGGAATTCATGAAATAAATCAGGTAAGATATCATGGTTCAGAATTCTTCTCAGAATGTAGCAGGAATTCTTCTCCCAATTGCTTACAAGCAGAAAACTCTCAAAACTAAAGCGTAAAAAATCTGTAGAAAAACGTGATGATAAAAGGTAGGCGGCTCTGGCCTTTTTTATTCTCTTTCTCCTCCTAAAATTAGGTAAAAGTCGATTTCCTTATTTCTCTCCAGGCGGTTGGAGCAGGTGCTCCACGAAAGGGTGAAATCGGGAGCAGGTGCTCCCAACCAAGAATGATCCAACTTCGTGTAAATTGGCCTCTTTTGCTCAGCTTCAGCTCCTTTTTGCACCAAAAGCCCCAGCTGCTCCAAACTGTCGCCTTAAGCCTCCTAGTTACCTGAAACGACTTAACAAAGACTCAAAATACTCTAAAAAGATCAGTAAACACAAGTTATAATGAGTCAAAATCTCCACTTATCATCATTCAGTAAGAGGCACCTTCATTCCCCCCCAAATCTGATGTCAAGAAGTTATTTGACTGCCTGTGAGGCTTCAAAATCATTCTATTAGGTGTAATGTACTTATTAGATCTAGCATTATAACCCGCACTTCCTGTTCAGGAGGAGTGATGGAGCTCTCCTAAGTCCGCTAAGTGGTAGCATGAAAGCAGATAACCAATGTACTGTCCCAAAACAGATGTGCTGCGCTACCCAGCGCGTAACCTTGTCCCCCTACCCCTCTTTTGCTTATGCCATTACCAACCAATTGCGGGTAGCCCCTAGACCGACCCGATCGACGCACATCCATGCACCTCCGAACCAGGAGATTAGTAAAACATCACTTCCCTAGTCTTAAGGTTCATAAGGAACCTGTCTCGCAAAGAATATTCAGAACTGATCGAATCCGAGGAATGTCAGTTAGTCGAGTAAGAGGTCTGCAAGCCTCACGTAGGCAGGATTCGAACCTACGTAGAAAAACTTTACCCTCTGCTAACCGTAATGACGCGAAAAAAGCACATTCTCAGCAAAAAGAGGATTGTACCATAGAAGCAAGAAGGTCTTTCATATCTGTGAAACAAGTCTATCCTATAGATGAAACAATTGTACAAAACAATCCAACAAGTCTACATTTCAACAATTTACAAAACCAAATCTACCTACACTCCAGGTAACAAATATACAAAACTTCAACATGTCAAACAAGTCAACAACTTTAATTTATAACCGAGGTCA